AGATCAGATGCCTCCTGGCAAGCTGCCTTGGAGGAACTGAGCAACCTATCGGAGGTATGAAAGAGTGGTGATGCAGGAGTCAGGATTGTGGGGATGGGGAAAGACCTGCTGAGGGGTCCACTCGGTTCAGTAAGATTGAGATGGCAATCCTGGATAGATGTTAAAGTTCCCGCTATCTGGAGAGAGCCAGAGACCCACTTCCTCCAACGTCTGTGCTGACCGTAGGTGGGCTGTCAGTGGGGTCAGAGTAGATATGCTTGTGGACCAAGGGTTGCCTGCTAATGCAGGGGGCTCCAGTCCCACTTTTCTGTGTCATTATGCAATGTTTGTGTCGTCGCAGTAAGGACCCGCTCAAAACCTGTCGTCTCCCAGGTACCAGCAGGACTTGTATGTAGCTAAACCCATGAAGCCATTTATTGGGCATTTCCTTCTCCTTGGCTTGTCTTTCCTGCCACAGGTACTGAGTGACCTGTGCTTCTGACCCCTCCTGATCTCTCCATGTGAACCACCTTGGCAAGTGTTGGGCCCTGAACCATCACCGGGCCCTCAGGGAGAAACCATATGATTCTCTACCTCTTGGTCATGCTCTGGTTGCAGCCCCTGGGCATCAGCCTTGGCTCACCTTTGCAGGGCATCTGTATGCCCAGTCCCTGCACCTCTGCTCCTGCAGGGTAAAGCAGGTGGTGAAGAGTGACCAGGCTGTCTGAAAGCAAAGGGTGGGCTGTTTAGAGCAATGCACTGGGGAGACGGTGCCTCTCAAAGGCTGCAGAGTAGGCTGTGTGTTTGCAGGCTCACCTGCTGCCTAGCTGCTTTCCCCTGACCAGCTCCTCTGCAGAGCCTCACCTGCGCCAGCCCATATCCTTGGGAAAGCTCCCTGGATACCCCACACGACTTGCCTTCCTGCCTACCTTCTCCCCCCCATGAGGATCAAGTCACTTTTCAGCTGTTTCTACCCACTTTGCTCCCTAGCTTGGCCTAGAGCCTGGGAAGATGCTATTGCTTCTGACGGATGTTCATATCTTGGATTTCTGTCTGGGAAGGCATGGTGTCACTCTCCTGCACTGACCCCCGGCGTCTGGGCTGCTGCATGTGGCATCCCAAGGGCTTCCTTTCCCTCCTGACTCTGTCCTGCTGTGTCCCTGGTGGGGATTGCAAACAGAGCCTGTGCTTTGCACGTGCGTGTATGTGTATGTGTGCAGGGCTGTAGCTGTCAGACTTATTGCTCTCTTCAGCTCCACCCCATTCTCCTCATTGGCTCCAGAAAGGCCCGACAGGGATGACTGATTTATCAGTCTGATCAGGCAGCAATTTCTGCATCCAAACAACAGCCCCTGACACCCGGGGCCACAGCACTGGCTCCTTGTCCCTCATCGACCACCAAATTGCTGCTCACAAGGGGTTAACCAGAGCTACATGGGGTGAGCAGACCCCATTGCCCCTCCCAGTCCCTTAGCGCCCAAGTACCGGAGAGTTAAATTACCCCGTTACCTTCTTCCCATGAACTGCTCCCATGGCGCAGGCGTCCAGCGTGCGGGCAGTCCCTTCGGATTGTCCTCCGGAGCTGGCACTTTGCAGGCTCCGTGTTGTTCCCTGATGCTGTCCCACAGTCTGTAGAGAGGCACGGGCTGCATTAAACAGCAGGGAATGTGCAAAGGCGCAGTGCCTGGCTCCCTGACAGCCCCGCTGATTCTGCAGCAGAAGGCAGGCAAAGAGCAGCAGGGTCTTAAAGGAGATGAGCAGAAAGGTAGTCCTTTGCTTTATTACCCCGGCATGTCAAGAGCTCGTTCTCGTATACCTAATGACTGGCTTGCACACAGGCTCTGGCCAGGCACAAAGGCAGCTTTCATGCTGTAGATGCTCTGCTTCTAAGCTGGGCTCCTTATTTTGAAAGGCTGTGAGAGATTACAGTAATTACACTTGACAGGGCAAGATGTTGCAGAATGCAGGGATGGTCTGAGAAAGAATCAAGCTGCCGGGCTCTGCCAGGTCCCAGAACCGCGAGGTCCTTGTCTGCTAGGCGCCTGGCTGTCATTTGCTTTGCACTTTGCAGTGGCTTTGTGGAAACGCCCTGGAAAAAAACCACGTAGCCCCACTTCTCGGGGAACAATGCAGGATTCTTGCGTGGTGGCTGGGGTAGGGCACCAGGGCCCAGCTTGTAAGATGCGGCCAGGCAGCACTCCAGCTGGCACACGTGCTTGCTGCTGCCCACAGGCAAGCGTCTCAGACAGGATGAGCAGTGGGCCCTGCTGGGGGCCCAGCAGCCATGCACAGCCTTGTCCTGCAGTCTCGTTGGGGTGCCAGGGGGCCCAGGGCAGAGGCCAAGGTGTGAGCCCCTCCTCCTCTCACCCCCACATTGGGTAACTCGCTCTGACTTTTTCTCGTGGACTCTCTCCGTGGACTGTGGCCCTGTGCACTTGCCTGGGTGTTGCACCCACAAAACCAGCCATGTCTGTGGCATGCTGAACATCCTGTGCTGCTGCTGCGCTTGGTGCCAGACGAGGCAGCTGAGTCCCTGGCCCCTCCCCGCACCCCTTTAAGATCTCAGCAACAAAGCACCTGTAAGCAGGGGGGTCCTCGGCACACCAGGAACCCCTGCCCGCATTAGTACAGTCGCATAAAAAGCCAGGTGCTCAAGTGTGGTTCCTGAGTCTGTATTTCAGCATCAAAGTTAGAGGCTTAGATTTGGCTTCCATGGGAGCAGCTGTGTGTGCGCCACCCTGACGGGCTACTGGCCACTGATGGACCACAGTGTCTCATTCTAGAGTCAGGAGCCTACATTTTCACCTCCGTTTTCTGGAACTTTTGGCCTGTACTAAGTGCTCAGGCATCAACTGCAAACAGAGTCTTTGCTCAGTGCCGTAACCTGAAACCAGAGCTATTTGGAGAAATCCCTTGGATTAAAAACCAGGCGCGAACCAAACTTTGTGAGAATGAACAAGAAAGGCTGTAAACTTATGGGAGATATCTGCAGCTGGTGTTTGATTGCTGTGGAATTGCACTTGGATGGTATTCAGGTAGTTGACACGTGTGCTGGCTGCGTGCTGGGCATGTGTTGTTTGAAAGGCTTTCATTGGTTCAGCCGACGTGGTGTCTAACCGCTGTTGTGAGTGTGCAGGATTAAGCAGTCGAGTTTAACAGCCACGTTCCTGTAGCAGGAGCCGGACCTATTCTTTTTGTAAATCCCAGCTCCACTGCGTGGCTGAACTCATCATAAAAGTACAGGAGGATCCTAGCGTGAGGGTGAAGGCTGGTCTTCCCCTGGTTTCCCAGTTTGGGCTTTGGGAGTAACCAAGGGAATTCTGCCTTCCTGTTCATGTGGGGCAGAGCTGCAGGTTGTCTTTCTGAGTCTCTTTTTTTCAGGGTGAGCAATCTGGGACTGGAGGCTAGTGGCCAAAGATCAAGGGGGCAAAGTGTGGGAGTTCAGAAGCTGTAAGTTAATGAGGAGCAGAAGGAGCTGCCCTTTGTCCAGTGCACTGTGTGCTCTTGTCAGGTTGTGACTCTTCCGCAGGCTTTTGAGAGAACTCACCTTTAATGCAGCCCCATTGACTCCAGGGTACCGGACATGGCCCACCAACCGACCCAGAGTCTGGTACAATTTGGAAGGCCTGTAGATCCCGGCAGATTTGGAGGAGACCTGGGGTGATCTCACCAGGAGGAGGAGTTTATTGGATGAGTGGGACCGACTGGATCTGAACCTGCAGTGAAAAGGGTCAAGGTCTGGTTCCCTTGAAGGTTCATTTTCAACGAGTTTCCTCTGTCTGCACAAGCTTGCTGTCCCCAGGCTGGCCGCTCATGGCCAGCTCTGGCTCACCCCTGGGTAGAACCGATGAACGCATTGCGCTCACCTTCCAACCTCTGTCCACTCCTCTTAGGATAAATTAGATCTGATAGGCACCTGCAGCAGTGACACCTCCAAAAAGCTACCTATGGTGACCCTAGTGCAGGGAGGCTGAACCTGATGATCTTCCAAGGTCCCTTCCAGCCTTACAATCGATGAATTTAAGAGCCTGGTACAGCCCCAGCCCACACCAGCAGCCTGCCCTTGCCCTGCACACAGATCCAGGGGCACATGTCCCTTGTGCCTCCCCCTGGGGTGCGTTCAACAGCAAGAGCCATGGCTCTGTCCCATGCCCCACCCTGCCCTAGCTGGGCAGAACCTGCCCCAGCCCCACTCCCGCCCTCACCGCAGGGGCCTTGATCTGCACTCCCCACACCCCTTCCCTTCCCTTCCCTTCCCTTCCCCACGCCCCTTCCTCCCCAACAGACTTACTGGCCAGATGCTGCTCTCCAGGCTGCCTGGCAGCATATCGGCAATCAGATTTGTATTGTCCGATACGGCTCATTAAAAATTGGCCATCTGTATTGCCCAAAAAATCTCTATCGGTGCACCCCTACTCACCAGCTCTGTGGACTCTCTTCTTTTAATGTGCTCTTCCCTCTTGGGGATCAAGAGCGGGGTCTTGAATTTGGCAGGGTGAATGTGCAGGTACCAAGTGGTTAATGATCCTGGGGTCCCCATGGACAGCTTACGTGTTTGGTCAACTTACAAACTGCAGAGCACATGCACAAAAGTGGCTCGAGGCCTGGCCTGCAAAGGTGACCTGTTTCCACATGCATCTGCCACCAATAAGACCCACTGTAAGCGATGCTTTGTGTGTGTAAGAGAGAAGTCTTCTGTGTGTGCCACTCACTAAGGCTAAATACAGCTCTAGTTTCTGTTATACTGAGACAGCCCGGTCTAGCTTTCCAGAAGAGGTCTCAAATATAGCACCCTGCGTCTCCATCTCTGCCGGCGGCAGGCTTCCCCATCCCTGCCGGCGGCGGGCTTCCACCGGCTGGTTAGCCCACAACACTTCCACCTGCCGCAATATTGTTCTTGCACTTCCGGTTAGTATGCTGGCCATTCCAGTTAATAGCTCAAAACACCTTGTGCCCCGTACTGGTTGTGCCCTTCTGTAACATTTGAGAGAGACAAAAAACTACAGCGCCCAGTCATGACATACCTTCTTGCTCTCAACACGAGCCTTTATTAATATACTAGGACACGTGTTGGAATCTGCTGGGCATCGGCCAAGGTGTCAGAGATGTGCTGTTATAGCACAGACTAAAGCACTTGTAAAGCAGGGATCAATCACTGTTTTAAAAGAGCTGATCAAAAGAAAATGAATCTTTCATTTAGGCTTGATGCAGGAGCTGTTTGGAGGTCCATACACCACTACTTTACTTCTGCGGTACGCAGCCCTCCATTCGCAAGGCCACAGGAAGTTTCAGTTCTTTGTCTGTTTCTTCATCGATTCGCATAAGCTGCAGGGGGAAGAAAGAAAGAAAGCTGAGAGCTTGGCAGTAGCTGGTCCATGAATAGGGAACGGCACATTCAGAGCAAGGCTGTAAACCCAAATGTTCTTTCTGAGGCCGCTAGTGGACACAATGCATGGATAATCTCATACCCCCGCATACAGTAGGCAGGCTCAGCACTGGCACTTGAGTTAACAGAGAAATCCCATTCTCTTTTCTCAAGGGGTGGTATCCTGGTGTCCTCTGCTCCTAGCCTACTGTGCTTGAGTGGCTGATAGGATACTGGTATATGATGCTCTCATCCAGGGGCCTCAAACCACTTTTGAAATTTGCTGCTACCATGTCCCTGTTATGGATCTTACAAAAGTAAGTACGTTGCTGCACCAACACTGAACCTTCAGAGATGTTTTCCATCCACATCTGTTTCTCTCCTTTCCATCCTCCTGCTTTCCCACCCCATTCTTTCCCCCAGAAGTACGCGTGCCCCAGTTCGAGAAACGCCAGTCTAATCAGCGTGTTTGGGTCACCGCCGAGTTGTTGGGCCCCCTCTGGACTCTGCTCCTTTTTGCCAGCCACACGCCAAAGCAGCATCGATGTGTGCAAGGGGAGAGGTGGCAGCCGTGGCTCCCAGCCCACAGGCACACGCTGTTCCATGCAGACCGTGTGCTCCGGGAGCAGGACAAGCGAAGGGAAGCGTGTGCGTAGGAGGAGTCATGTCTAGAGGGACACAGAACGTGCAGATCTTGTCTCCGTGACCCGAAGCTGCACTGATCTGCCTGAGGCTACGGGTGGTGCTGGGATTGGGAGAGAAGCAATTTTTCATATTCCCCACGGACTGTGAGAAGGTTTGGAGCTGCTTTGCCTGCAGCAGGGCCTCTTCTTTGAACAGCATTCAGTCCATGGGCTCTAGAACGAGTTTTCAAAATAGGAACCATTCTGGGTAGTAACAGCCCTGAGATGCCCAGGCACAAGCTGCCACAGCCTCTGTCCCCTATCACGTTTGCAAGGAGAGGAGAGGGAAAGTACCTTTTCAAAAGGGCTCTTATCCTTTCGACCTTTTTGTCCTAAAAAAACCCAGTTGTCCCAGTAACGCAGCTTAGCTGCATAGCTGCTTCCCAGATTGGTTAACATTGTCCGTGCTTCATCGTTCATCCTAAAAAAGAGAGAGAAAGGACTTCTGAACTCCACCCTACTCTACCTTGTGTACCTGCTTAGTCCCATAGGATCTGACCACCTTCCCATAGAGCATGAAGTGCACCGCCTAACATCTGCTGGGTTTTTGGTTGTAGCCATGTTTGTCTAAGGACATAGGCAGGCAAGTTTCTTTGAGTAGATGTGATATCTTTTATTAGACCAAGTGAGTAGGTGGTACTCAGTTGGTCTAATAAAAGATATCACATCCAGTCAAAGAACCTTGCTTGACTAACACCTGTCACGTGTGCAGGAGAGCTTTTCGCTTTGTATTTTTCACAGTGCAGCTGTAAATGTTCCTGGCTGCTAAACGGTAACGCCCATTCCCGTCTCTCCATGGCCGAGAAAGCAAGGTCACAGAGGCAGGCACAGCTTGCCTTTGCAGGAAAGGTGGGGAGGTTTGTGGTGGACCGTGGCTCATTGCAGAGTCCAGAGCCAGGCCGTGGGAGACCTTTGGGGGCCGTGCCCTGCAGTGGTTCCAAACCCTGCCCCCGGATGCTCATGCCCTAGCCACCACCCTCATTTCACATGGGGGCCATTAGCTTGAGCCTCTGCTGGCCTCTACTGCCACAGGATCTTATCCAGAGAAGAGCCATTCAAACCACTGGATGTTCTCTAGGTGACAGATCGTTTGGGCACCCAGGGCCGCTCTTGAGCACAGGTGCCACAAGTTCTGTGCCTGAGACACGGTGCCCAGATGCAGGCAGCTGGATTCTGGGCCAGCCGACATGTCCCAGGGCTGGAAGGTGCAGCCCCCTGCAGAGAGTGATGTATCACTGTGGCTCCAAATGTAGTTAGGACCGAGTGGAGGGTGGATAGTTGTGCATCTGGGGTGTGATCACACTGCCCTGGGCTCAGTGGGAGATTTGCCATTGACCCTGTGTGAAGAGACCTGGCTCCTGGGAGGCAAACTCTGCTCCTCGGGTTGGTACATACTTGGTGGCTGGGTCATCGTAGGAGGCGACAAGCACCAGGGTGCCATCCTGGATGGTTTTCAGAAAGGCCACTAGGTGTTTGACATCTGGTAAAGCAGAGAAAAGCAAGTGTTAAGGGAGAAGCATGTGGCCCATTTGCTCTGAATATGCCTTATCTGGGGGCAGGATCTAGGCAGGTGCAAGTGCCTTGTCAGCTCCAGTTCCCTCCCATGGGGTTTGTAGGCACAAAGCATTTTGCAGAAGGCCCCATGCATCTTGCAGGACTGGACTGGTTGAGACAAGGGCTACTTTTTTCTGGTGCTGTGGTGTGAAAAGCAGCCCTTGCTAGAAGGGGTGCACCAATAGAGATTTTTGGGGCCTGTACCAATAGCTGATTTTTAAGGAGGCATATTGGCCAATGCCAATCCAATCTCCGATATGCATCCTGGCAGCTTGAAGAGCAGTGTCCAGCTGGTAAGTCTGCTGTGGTGAAACGGGTGGGGTGGGGTGGGGTAGGGTAGGGTGGGGCGTACAGATCAGGGGCCCTGCGGTGAGGGAGGGAGTGGGGCCTCGATCTGTAGAAGAGAGGCTCTACCCCGCGGGGTGTGAATACCGCTTCGGGTGCCCTGGATTCTGCTGCAGATCCGAAGCCCTGTTGGATTCCAAGTGGTATTAGGGAAAGCAGCCACTTACCTCCACTCCACATGTTGAAGTAGGCTGTTTTGATGAGGTGGCCTGTTGTCCCTAAGTGATTAAAATTAAAATAGAATTCAGTTTCTATAACATCAACATCTGGACAGAGAGCATGGGCTAGGTAGTCCTTCTGCTGGGGGCCTGTGCAGGACATTTGCTACATAAACTCCCAACTTGCAGCCGTTCCCATTGCACTCCGAACCCACCAGCCGCTTAACCATTTCATCACTGCCAGCTTGTCTTTACTGAGACCGGCCATCGCAAGGAGCAGGCACGGGTGAGTGCGCAGCAGGGGATGTAAGGTTTGTGTGTCAGTTTTCTGTGCCTGGCTTGGCCCCATACCTGCAATTCAGCTCATGCTCTGGGAAATTCACTGCAAAGAAGGAGGTGGTTGGAGTGACTGAGAGCTGAAGGGAAGCTCCAAGTACTAGGGAGGTTGACCTCAGGGACTGTGATTGCCCTGGTCATCGACCAGCAAGGAGCCGACCCCTGTGGGCTCGGCCCAAGTGGTGCCAAAGAAAGTCAGGGAGCTCGTATCGGGCTTGCGTCCTGAGGAGCGGGCCTAGCACTGCTGCTTGCTGCTCTGTGGTCGGGGGGGCTGGCTGGCGGTCCACGGGCATCCCTGCAGCTGGGCTCATCTGTACCAGTGGGGACCCACCCTGTGTGCCCTGCCAGAGCATTAGCCAAGTCATAGTTAATTAACAGGGACTACTGATTAGTTAAGAGATGGGCCATAGGCTTGTAAGAGAGAGTCATCACAGGCCGAGCTGTTCCCATCCACTGGAAGAAGCAGCGGCTTCCGAGAGGTGGGCGGTAATCAGGTGCTTTGACCTGGCTGGACCAGACGGTGCCAGCGCGTGGGATGGTCCAGGCAAGGTGTGCACCAAGCACCTGCCGGGGCCCACGACCATTTCTGCATCATCGACTCACCGTTCACAAGCGCAAAGTTTAATCCACCCTTGACATTGTTCCTCATGACACTCATGACACTGGAAAGAAAGCAGAGAATAAAGAAGGGGGTCAAATTCTCTGCGTGAATCTTTGTGAATCAGGAATTGTCTGCGTGCCATGGGGTGAGTCTTTGGCCAGCTGCAATGCGCCTGACTGTAGCAGGAAAGAAACCTCCTTCAAAGGACACGTACTGCCACTGTTAGCAAGCAGGGTGAGGTTCTCCTGGCCGTGCGCGCCCGGGCCTTTACCAGCTTGTTTTCAGGCACAGCCCCTGGGCCGTGCAGAGTCCAGCCTGGCCCCGACCTGAGCTCTGGGATTATCAAAGAGAAGCAAATAACAGATATCTCCTGAACCTGTCTGTCTTGTGGGGCTGCTTCTCCAGGCCCACCCTCAGGATTCCCCAGCCTCTTCTGACCCCCAGACCTGCAGAGAGCCCTTTCCACCTCCACACCATCAGGTGCTTTTGGGACCACTGCAGTACTTACATTACATCGTCAAAGCATATAAACGGCCGAACACCTTTTCTTGTTCCGCCGATGATTTTGAAGGCAAAATGGTTCGGGGGACAGCTTTGCACATTGCCGCACTTATGCAGCAATTCCTGTGACTCTGAGTGGAATGAAAAACAGGCATTGGGGCGATGCTAGGACCTTTCTGACAAGCAGGGTGCGGTGCCCTGGGCCCTGCTCCTGTCGTTCCCCCACCCCCAGACCTCCTGAGGGCAGAGCTGCCCTGGCCCTGGGCTGATAGCGCACAGTTGGTGGCAGCTCTGCTTCCTGGTTCTGGGGCTTTGGAAACTGCCCCGTTAGCCGCACAGAGCTGCCCTCTCATTGCTGTATGGGGGGGCTGTCATACGTATGTATTAGGGGATGATGTGGACCCACTGCCTCTGCTCAAAGTGGGGAACTGTGCAGAGAGACACTCTTCAGGTGTGCTACAACTGTTTAACTGCAGAGGCCTTCAGCCCCAGCTCAGTGCATTTCATTCATTCCTCACTTGTTCTGCATTAGCGGCTGCTCCTATGGCTCGGAGCCAGGAGGAGGTGTGGGGAGAACCGAGAGAGGAGACCCCGGCTCTATTCTGCTGATGAGATCTATTCATCTGTAGAGAAATAACCTTCTGTTCCAGCTCTTGCCTTTAAACCTCCTCCAAGATGCGTGTTGGAGCCCGACCTTCCACCCAGGTGATGCATTTGACCCATTTGAGACTCATTCCAGAGGTGGTTCAGCTCACGAAACAACCGCACATCAACTTACCAAACAAGCTCTGTTCAGCGACGGACTTCCAGCTCGTGTTCAGCTCCGTCTGCAGAAGGAACCACGTTCCAGCCAGCGTGAACAATGTGCCCACAACCCGGTGCACACCTGCCAGGGCGTGGGGAGAAGGTCACCTTATGGTGCGGCGCTGTGGAGCGTGGAGCAGCCTTGCCCTGGCATTGGGGAGTGGGGGGCTCGGTGTCGTGCAGCGCTGTGAGCCGGTGAGCAGGAGTCGGGGAGCTGTGCTTGGAAGGCCACGCAGGCCTGCTCTCCTCTTCCACATGCCAGCTGCAAGCAGTGGCCTGTAGCCCGGGGCCCTTCCTGCCCTCGGCCAGTTACTGCAAGCTGCTCTTGGGAGAGGGGAGCGAATTGCTGGTAGAAATCCTGCCCAGCTTTGAAGGCAATAATGGGTCACACTCCTCTGAGAGACACATTGTGCAGGGAAAGCCGTCCAGGCCTCGGGTTTGTGAGGGACTGAGCATGGGGTGGGACTCGGTGGCCTTTGCTGTGCAGGAAGTCAGCCTGGCAGGTGGTGAAGGTCTCTCTCAGGTGAGAGGCACGGTGTGACAGCAAGACATTACTGCTGCTGTTCTCTGCATTAACCTAAACCTGAGAATGGGTTAAAAAGCCATGGAAATGCAAGCGTGTCTTGAGTTCCCCGAGCTGGGAGGCTCACGACCCCCCAGTTAGTCAGTAGGTCCAGCCGACCAGCTGTTCATAAAAGTGTGATTGGCACTGGATGTTACAGCAATGCCCAGTGGAGCACAGCGTTCCTCTCCTGCCATGGAAACGTGATTGAAGGCAATATTTATACTGCAGCTGAATGGCTCTTATGGAACCAGGGACCTCTTGGTAGTCATCTCCCGCCCCCGACCGGGAGGGATTTCATTTGTAAAAGTACAATGAGCTGCAATATAGGAAGTTATTTTAAAAATAAGGCTCTGTACTCACACTGAGGCCCTTCTGCACACCCCTGGCTGCACCAGGTGGGTGTAAGGGTGTTTCTAGACCCAGCACTCTTCCCTGCCTATGCAGGGGCTCGGACTCGATGATCTATTGAGGTCCCTTCCGACCCTAACATCTATGAATCTATGTGGTGAAGGTCTCTCTCAGGTAAGAGGCACGGTGTGACAGCAAGACATTACTGCTGCTGTTCTCTGCATTAACCTAAACCTGAGAATGGGTGAGAATGGGTTAAAAAGCTATGGAAGTGTAAGTGTGTCTTGAATTCCCTGAGCTGGGAGGCTCGTGACCCCCCAGTTAGTCAGTAGGTCCAGCCGACCAGCTGTTCATAAAAGTGTGATTGGCACTGGATGTTACAGCAATGCCCAGTGGAGCACAGCGTTCCTCTCCTGCCATGGAAACGTGATTGAAGGCAATATTTATACTGCAGCTGAATGGCTCTTATGGAACCAGGGACCTCTTGGTAGTCATCTCCCGCCCCCGACCGGGAGGGATTTCATTTGTAAAAGTACAATGAGCTGCAATATAGGAAGTTATTTTAAAAATAAGGCTCTGTACTCACACTGAGGCCCTTCTGCACACCCCTGGCTGCACCAGGTGGGTGTAAGGGTGTTTCAGAAGTGCTCGTGTGGACAAGAAATGTTCCCCTCGTTCATATTCTCTGGGCCCGTTTTGTGCTCATTCTGAAAGGCACAGCTCTCTTTCCTCTTACCTGTCGGCCTCATGGTAGGACTTGGGTGCGTTGAAACGAGGGCAGTGATCAGAGATCGTGAGTCAACCTGCAGAAGCAGAAGAAACAGGTATTAAACACATAACTGTTCCCCAGAGAAAAGCGGTGTGTGTCAGGTGAAAGGTGGTGATTGGGATGGTGGAGCTCCTGCACTCCACGGGGACTTAAGCCATCCCCAGCGGCAGACACACCAGCGCCACAGCCAGCGCACTGGCAATGCCAAACTTATTTCAAGCAGCCTCAGGAACTGGGGAGCATGTTTGCACGGTGAAGAAGGCTGATAGACAGGTCTGCCCAGGGGCACGCAGGGAGATGGCAGCAGAGCCAAGATCTCTTCCTTTCACATCGGTCTCCGTGTAACCGCCAGCTTGGCCCCCCACGCCAAGAGGGCAGGTTCCAGCTGCTGAGTGCAGAGCAGGCCTTTCTGCCCGGTCCCATCCTCCCAGCAGAGTTTGGAGCAGCGCAAAGGCTGCTGCAGTTTCACCTTTGCTCACCATTGCTGGTGAAGTGTGGCACAGAGGGGTAGTGCAGCCCTTTGCTCACTGAAGCCGAATGGGTGACAGAAAGCTGGCCTGGAAGTGAGAAGTATGCCAGCAAGAAGGACATCCTACCTGGGCTTTGCCTGCTTGTATCTTGAACTGAGAGAGAGTGGTAAACTGGGTCATGCTGCCTGATGGGCCATCTCCAAGGCCTGTTAAAAACCAGAGGGTGGCATCTGAGGTCCGTCTGCCAGCTTGTAGCTGTGTACCTAGCCTTTCCATAGCTACGGCTGTGCTTCAGCTGTCCCATGGATTTTCAGAGCAGAAATGTTAGCTCCTTGTTTTCCCTTTGGAGATACCAGACCCGCCAGCTGTGCAGCCCTGGTGTGGAGATTCCCACCCCTTCCAATGAGACGGGGGGGAACGCGGAGACGCATACAGAGTGCCTCCATGGGACACGGTGCTGCAGAGCACTCGCCACAACACAGAGAGGGGCTGGGGAAGTCCCCTGGCTTGTTATCCCACAGGGATCTCTAAGCAGAGAGGAGAGGAGCAAGAACGGGGCAATGGAGGACATACCAACGGGAGAGTCCCCAGGAAGGAGCGGTCCCCGTTCCCCTGGCCATGCCATGAGCACCAGCACAGCTCCATTTTGACAGGCCCAGAGACCACCTGGAGCAGGAGAATGCTCCTGCAAAGCACCCGAGGAGCTGACTGCTTCATCCTGATTGCCTCAGCTCCTACGGCAGGGTGAGGGCGCCTACTGTGCTCAGCGAGTTTGGGGCAGAGCATCAGAGCGTCAGTCCCAGATTGCCTGAGCGCAGGAAGCCCCGCAGGGACCATCTGCATCCACCTCACTGCTCTCCAGGGGGGTGCTCAGTTTAGTCAGGACAATTTGTTCTCTAGAATCGCAGAAAATGAGGGTTGGGAGGGACCTCAGGAGGTCTCCAATCCAACCCCCTGCTCACAGCTAGACCAGCCCCAAATACATCATCTCAGCCATGGCTTTGTCTACCTAGGCCTTAAAAACTTCTAAGGATCCAGCTTCCACACCTCCCTGGGCAACCTGTTCCAGTGCTTCAGCACCCTCCATGTGAGAAAGCTCTTTCCCAATATCTAACCTCAACTTCCCTTGCTGCAACTGGAGCCCGGTGCGCCTTCTTCGGTCCTCTGCCACCACCGAGAACAGTCCAGCAGTACAGAGAGCAAGTGAAGACTGATCTGGGACTGGGTGGCATCTGTGAAGGGGAAAGGCCAGGTCCCTGGAGCCTGCCCCAGTCTGGGATACGTTAGAGCAGCCTCCACGCTCCCAAGCGAGAGAGAGCAGTAGCTGAGAAATGCCACAAAGCAGCCGCTTGCCAGTCTGACCCCTTCCTCCTACGTGGGGGCAAGACCAGGGGACGAGTGGATGTAGCAGGTGGCAGCTCTTTTCTAGCACTTCCCCTGGTACTAAGAAACCTGTTTCTTTTAGACATACTTCTGGTGCTCCTCTGGCATCAATAATGGATAAAGACACCCGATGCAGAGCATACATCACACAACAGATTGTGTCTCCAGTTATTCAGTCAGCAGGCGGAAACAGAGACCGGGCATGGCTTTAACACTCGCTCTTGCAACAACCCTCCATGTGTAACGTTCCCCTGGCCAGAACCTGCCCTAGAAACCAGTGCTAGAAATCTGGAGCATCGACCACAGAGAAGGGAGCGGCAGGAAGACCGCCCGGCTCCAAGTTACAACCAGCAAAAAGTGAACTAGCAAATCTGAGTTGTCCTTCACTTTCTGCCTGCTACAGAAAGGGGTGGAAGAATCGGAGAAACCACGTGTTATCTACAGCAGTGACCACCGGCTGGTTTAGTATTACAGTCAGGTCCTCCCAGGATCTTTGTGTCGACCACTGGGACACACCTGCCAGACGGACAGAGCTGGACCTCATTGTGGAAAGCACTGCCAATGTTAACAGAAAAGCCTGCAGTTTGAATCAAACTTAAAGAAACTTTCCTTGGCAACTATTTCTTACAGTAACACAAGAGCTCTTTGGGGGCTGTCTTTAAATATACATACCAAGCAGCGTGGCCCAGACGTGTCTGTATCCTCTAACGTCTCTGTTCCAGATGGGGCTGTCAGGACACCTCTGCAGCTAACCTCAGCAATTGGCGCGCTGCGTGGTCGACTAGATTGCGTAGCCCGGCCCTCGCGTGAATCACCACAAACGCCTCCCCCATGAAATGCCCCGCTGGTCCTGTAAGTGTCAAGCGAACTGCAGGCAGCTCAGCGGATCAGGACTAGAGGAAAGAATGAGGAAGTCTTTGTGGCTGCTCACAGGGATGCTGAGCTCTGCCCTGGGGAAAATGCACATGCACACAGAGGGATTGGGCACAGATATCCGGCTCCTGCATAGCTAATACCTTGCCCTTGGTCTTTTCCTTCTTTCCCCCTCCATTGGCACTTGCCCTCCACCCATCTCTTGCTGAACTTCTAACCAAGGAATCTGCTCTAGCTGTGCTGGGACCTCATGTAGTCTGCATGGTTCAGGTGTAGGGAGTTACCATAGGGATTGCAAGAGGTAGCACAGAGGAGCATGTGTGTGCAAATGTGTGCTCACCCAGCCGGTTGTGCTGGTTGTGGAAGCACTTTCGTAAAGAAGTGATGCTTGGATCAGGCCTCAAATGTGTGTTGAGAGGCAAAGCTTCATGTCTGCAGGACAGCACCACTCCGAGAGCGAGGACAAAGCTTATACACAGGGAAGTGGCCCAACGTGTGCTGCACCTCTGGATTTGGCCTGCCCTGGGGGGGACACACGTAGAGGCTTTTTCTCGTGTTAAGTGAAACGGCACTCAGGTGTCAGGAGAGGAAGTGATGCCAAAGCAGGGCGTTCGTGGTGGCCGCTGGGGTGTGGGAAGCCCCCCTCGGAAGCCCGAGCGGCGTGCCAGCCGGAGGGGCAAGCGTCTCACTTCTGGTTGTTTTTGGCTGTTCACGTCAAGGGTCGGTTGGTGTCTCGATTAACTGGGATGCTGCGAGACAAGGCAGAGGCTTTCCTTGGCTGCTCGCAGTCCAGCCTGTGAGAATCGGGAGTCAGCCCACTCCCGTCAGCAGGTTTCCCTGCCTTTGTGCAGGTGTCGCTGCGAGACTCTCGGGTGTCCTTCTGGAGCGAGTATCCCTTAGTTCAGAAACACAGCGCGTGCTGACTCCTAAAGGGCTGGTGAGCTAACAGAAGATGTATATTTGGGCAGGCTTCTTAAAGCGTTTGCAGCTCTTTTTTGGGATATACACAGATTTTGCCCTGTGTTCTTTATTTCCTGTTCCTTGTTGATCCAGGGCCTTTGCTGACATTTCCTTCCCCAAATGAATGTCACTGTGAGCATTTTGAGTGGACGTTATCCTTGGTGGGGATTGCAAACCCAGAGCCTGTGCTTTGTGCATGTGTGTGTGTACATGTATGTGCACGGCATCCGATGTGCAGGCAGTTCTTTGGGATTGTCTGGAGCTGGCTGTGGCCTATGGCTCTTCTGCAGGCCTCTGAGAGAGCTCCTCTTTAATGTAACCAAATTGCCGCAGGTCGGTCTAGGGTACCAGACATGGCCCACCAACCGACCCAGAATCTGATACCTTTCATAAGACCCCCAGATCCCAGCAGATTTGTAGGAGACCCAAGGTGATCTCACCAGCAGGAGGAGTTTGTTGGCTGAGTGGGACCAACTGGATCTGAACCTGCAGTAAAATGCGTCAAGATTTGGTTCCCTTGAAGGTTCATTTTCAACGAGTTTCCTCAGTCTGCACAAGCGTGTCAGCCCGTGGGTAGAACCGATGAACCCATTGCACTCACCTTCCAACCTCTCTCCACTCCCCTTAGGATAAATTAGATCTGACAGGCACCTGCAGCAGTGACACCTGCTAAAAAGCTGCCTATGGTGACCCTCAGTTTTCAATTGCATGTGACGTTCTGCGCTTGCTTTTCTGCTCCAGGCTGCATTTTCCCCTGCAAGCTCAGGGAAGCAGCAGCACCGCCTGCACTCACCAGCTCTGTGGACTCTCTTAGTTTTACATACTCTACCCCCTTGGGGATCAAGAACAGGGTCTTGAAATTTGGGAGGGTGAGTGTCCAGGGGCCAAGAGGTTGATGATCCTGGGGTCTCGTGGACAGCCTCTGGATTTGGCCAACCTGTAAACTGCAGCACATGTACACAAAAGTGGCTCAAGGCCTGGCCTGCAGAAGTGACCTGTTTCCGCATGCATCTGCGGTCAATAAGGCCCACTGTATGCGATGCTTCGTGTGTGTGTGAGAAGTCTTTTGTGTGCACCGCTGGCCAAGGCTAAATACAGCTCTAGTTTCTGTTATACTGAGACAGCTCGGTCTGGCTTTCCAGAAGAGGTCTCAAATATAGCACCCTGCGTCTCCATCTCTGCCGGCGGCAGGCTTCCACCTGCTGGTTAGCCCACAGCACTTCAACCTGCCGCAATATTGTTCTTGCGCTTCCTGAACGTTTCTTTCTGATGTGCCCTGAGTGCATTCACGAGTGGCAGCTACCACCTCCGCCTTTCTGCCGTCTGCTCCTTTTCCTGCAGCTGCCGGTGTTTCCCTGTACTGCCACGAGGGCTTTGCTGGTGCGAGAGGACAACTGGAGCAACAGTTTGAACCTCCTCCCTGCTCCCTCTTGCTTATTCAGAAAAAGTGCAGCTGGGATGGGTCGGACTGGAGGGAGATAATCACTGCGCCTCTCTGTCCCCTGTATTCCCTCCGGGGCCCCAGCCAGAGGCGAATATCCCAAGGCAGGGGTTACAATCAACAGATTTGTAAGACCACAAGACCGTTTATTAAGAATCAATAAGAAATCTTACTTAATACCTGATTTAATTAATAGCTCAAAACACCTTGTGCCCCAGTATTGGTTGTCCCCTCCTGTAATAGTCTCAGGCAGACAAAAAACTACAGCGCCCAGTCATGACATACCTTCCTGCTCCCAACATGAGCCATATTAATATAATAGAACAGCATGTTGGAATCTGCTGGGCATCGGCAGTGGAGATGTGCTGTTATAGCATGGACTACACGCTTTTAAAGCAGGGCTCAATCACTGTTTTAAAATATCTGATCAATTGAAAAGGCCCAGCTGGCTTGTGCTGTGCTGGGTGATTCAACAGGCACACAACTGGGACCAGTTCAGACTGAGGGATCCAGATGGAAATGGCTTTTTCCAGGCAGATGAAAATGTATGGTTAAGTTAGGCTTGATGCAGGAGCTATTTGGAGGTCCACACACCGCTAATCCATCTTCTGTGGTACGCAGCCCTCCATTTCCAAGACCTCGGGCCAGCCGTCGTATTTGTTTTTTTCCTTTTCATTTTTTATGTGCTGCAGGGGGAGTAAAGAAATAAAGCAGAGAGCCTGGCATTAGCTAATGGAAGAGAAAGGACTGTCAGGTTCACAACAAGGCTGTGAACCTACACCAGTGATTCTCGACTTGGAAGTGGATCCTTTCAAGGGTGTTACGGGGTGCTGCGCAGTGTTAGCACCGTTAGGTGGGCAAACATGACTCACCAGCGAAACCCTGCGATTTCAAGTCAGAATCCACAGTGTAAGAAACACTTGGACCGGTTTTGTTCTTTCTGAGTTTTTTGTAACAGAAGAATTGCTCTGTCCATATTCTGTAGTCAAAAAGTCAAGTGAAAACTAAGAGCTGGCATTTTCCTCGAGAGGGAGTCTCAAGCCTCTCATGGGTGCAGTGACTCTAAAAAAGTTGAGAGCCACCGACCTACACTTTCTTTCCAAGGCTGCTAATAGACATCATGCATGGATAATGTCATATCCCCACATACAGTAGGCCGGCTCAGCATTGACACTTGAGCAGGGACAGGCAATTATTTCAGGCGGAGGGCCACTTACTGAGTTTTGGCAAGCCATCGAGGCCCACATGACAGGCAGCCAGGGGCAGATAAATATTAATTTACTAAATCTTTTAGGGGCCCCATGGGCCAGATAGAATGGCCTGGTGGGCTGGATGTGGCCCACGGGCTGTATTTTGCCCACCCCTGCACGTGAGTCAACAGAGAAATCCCATTCTGTGGTAGCATTGGTGGGGTGGTGTCCTTTCAGGACCTGCCATTCAGCTAGTAATCTTGCTATGCCAGATTAAGGTTGTGCTTTGGGAGGCAGTGTAGCCACATGCTCCTAGCCTGCTGAGTTTGGGTGATTGATAGGATACGAGTATATAATGCTCTCATCCAGGGGCTTCAAACTGCTTTTAAAAAAGTTATGGCTCTTAAAAAAGTAAGTACGTTGCTGCACCAACACTGAACCCTCAGAGATGTTTTCCATCCACATCTGTTTCTCCCCTTTCCATCCTCCTGCTTTCCCACCCCATTCTTTCCCCCAGAAGTACGCGTGCTCCAGTTCGAGAAACGCCAGTCTAATCAGCGTGTTTGGGTCACCGCCGAGTTGTTGGGCCCCCTCTGGACTCTGCTCCTTTTTGCCAGCCACACGCCAAAGCAGCATCGATGTGTGCAAGGGGAGAGGTGGCAGCCGTGGCTCCCAGCCCACAGGCACACACTGTTCCATGCAGACCGTGTGCATGCAAGTGAAGGGAAGCGTGTGCGTAGGAGGAGTCATGTCTAGAGGGAGAGAGAAAGTGCAGATCCTGTCTCCGTGACCCGAAGCGGCACTGATCTGCCTGAGGCTACGGGTGGTGCTGGGATTGGGAGAGAAGCAATTTGCATAAGATGCCACAGTCTCTGCCCTTTGTCATGTATGCAGGAAGAGGAGAGGGGAAAGTACCTGTTCAAAAGGGCTCTTGTCCTTGAGACCTTTTCCTCCTAAGAAAACCCAATTGTCCCGGAAACTCAGCTTGGCTGCGTAGGTGCTTCCCAGATTGGTTAACAGTGTCCGTGCTTCATCATTCATCCTAAAAGAGAGAGAGAGAGAGGAGATCTGAGCTCTGCTTTACTCTACCTTGCTTGGGTTTGTGTAGCCTGCTCACTCTCCTAGTAGCTGACCACCTTCCCATAGTGCGTGAAATGCATTAACTAACATCTGTCACGTGGGCACGAGAGCTTTTTGCTTTGTATTTTCGCAATGCAACTGTAAATGTTCCTGGGTGCATCTACACGGGCCATTAAAATGACGAGATAAATTCCAGTGCAGTTTGTGCCAGAGAATCTGCACGTGTACCTGGGGCTGCAGCAGTTTGAGCTGCAGCCCCAGGTACATGTGCTCTGGGTGGTGGCATCGGGTGGTGGAGGGGCTGGCTGGGGCACAAGGCTGCTAAAGTGCAGGGCTAGGTGGGAGGTAGTTCCCACACTTTGGCACCTTCGTGCCCCAGACAGCCCCTGTCACTGTCTGCACTTGCATTTTGGCAGAGTAAATTACTCTCCCATAGGTTAGTACTGTCCCTAGCAGTGCTACTCTACATCAGAGTTAATTAGGTTCACCCTAGTACCAGTGCACACGTAGACTGTTACGCTTTACTGCGGAGCTAATTAGTCTAGTAAAGTGCATCTGTAGGTGCAGCCACCGTGTGTTAAACGGTAAGGGCCATTCCTGTCTGTCTGTGGGTGAGAAAGCGAGGTCATGAAGGCAGGTGCACCTTGCCTTTGCAGGAAAGGTGGGGAGGTTTGTGGTGGACCGTGGCTCATTGCAGAGTCCAGAGCCAGGCCGTGGGAGACCTTTGGGGGCCGTGCCCTGCAGTGGTTCCAAACCCTGCCCCCGGATGCTCATGCCCTAGCCACCACCCTCATTTCACATGGGGGCCATTAGCTTGAGCCTCTGCTGGCCTCTACTGCCACAGGATCTTATCCAGAGAAGAGCCATTCAAACCACTGGATGTTCTCTAGGTGACAGATCGTTTGGGCACCCAGGGCCGCTCTTGAGCACAGGTGCCACAAGTTCTGTGCCTGAGACACGGTGCCCAGATGCAGGCAGCTGGATTCTGGGCCAGCCGACATGTCCCAGGGCTGGAAGGTGCAGCCCCCTGCAGAGAGTGATGTATCACTGTGGCTCCAAATGTAGTTAGGACCGAGTGGAGGGTGGATAGTTGTGCATCTGGGGTGTGATCACACTGCCCTGGGCTCAGTGGGAGATTTGCCATTGACCCTGTGTGAAGAGACCTGGCTCCTGGGAGGCAAACTCTGCTCCTCGGGTTGGTACATACTTGGTGGCTGGGTCATCGTAGGAGGCGACAAGCACCAGGGTGCCATCCTGGATGGTTTTCAGAAAGGCCACTAGGTGTTTGACATCTGGTAAAGCAGAGAAAAGCAAGTGTTAAGTTCTGGTGTAAGATGCACGGCCCAACACCTGCTGCTTTCCCAGCTGACAGTAGGTAGAAGCCTAGTATAAGGATTTAGCAAAGGACTTGAGTCTTGGGGGGCTTAAATTGCACCAATGAAGGACATGTGCCTTTCGCAAGTCATGCTGGCTTCTCATCCCATTTATTTTAAGACTGTCGAGCAGGGGCAGTAACGGGACTTTCCTGCTGCGTCCCTGCACTGCTGCTGCAGTGTTGGGGGGAAATGACTGAGCCCAGACAGAAATGATCATTAACATGTTTGACTAGCTGGTTGGATATGGGGGCAGTGTTAGCATTTTTGGCAGTGTTAGTGTTTTTGAAAGAGGGTGCCTGTCTTTTTGTAACTGTTTCATTTTCCATTTATTCTGTGCAAAGTTCCCTGAGAGAGCAGAGCTGGCCGGTTGTAATTATGTATCCTTCATAGCTCTCCTATCAGATTTCATGTAGCTCACAAGTAGGATACACACTAATGAATGAAATGCCTCTATGATGATTAATCAGCTCGAGGTGTTTGGGCTAAACTCATTAGGACCAAGTGCAGGTGCCCCTCACATGCATTGTGCAGTCTGATTGAGTGGGCTAATTACAGGTTCCCAGCTGTGCAAAGTAGCATCCCTTGGGCAAACCCAACTGAAAATTCCCTTGTGACCTACATACCCAGAGGAAAGCATGTGGCTCGTTTGCTCTGAATGAGCATTATTTGGGAGCAGGATCCAGGCAGACACCAAGTGCCTTGTCAGCAACTTTTCCCTCCCGTGGGGTTTGAATTTTGCAGAAGGCCCCATGCATCTTGCAGGACAGAGTTGGTTGGGACCAGGACTATTTTTTCCCAGTGCTGTGGTGTGAAAAGCAGCCCTTGCTAGTAGACACATGGATGCAGCTATTCTCTTGCCAAACCCTGGCCTTGCTTCTCCACTATGACCCATGTAGAGTGCATGGCAGGAGCGGGGGCCTGTCTGCCAAATCTAGCATGCATTTCAGGACTGGCCCTGGCCCTGGGGCCGCATGACATGAAATATGGGCCTTGTCCTGCTCGGCTGGCTCAAGCGGGTCATCGCTGATTCGGAGGTTGTTGACCCAGAAAGGGTGGTGCCACCTCCAGACCGCACGACCCCCTGGAACTATCTGGCATCCGGATCTGGAGCGCAGCCCGTTGGAAGCAGCAGAGTAATTCATGCGAGTACAGAGAGCAGGGATGCTAACCCTACCGGGAGATGAAAAGCCAGTTTTAAAACATGCTTTCAGGAGGGCGCGGTTCAAGCGTCCAGCTGCTTAGCATTCACATGCTGGGCTAGTGCTGCGTGCACTGGAGCGGGGAGGAGCACGAGGTATGCGGGCAGTGGTATTAGTGAAAGCAGCCACTTACCTCCAGAGTACATGTCATAGCTTTCTGTTTTGATGAGCTGTCCTGTTGTCCCTAAGTGATTGAAATCAAAATCGAATTTAGTTTCTGTAAAATTAGCACCTGGACTGAGAGCACGGAGTCCTTCTGCTCAGGGCCTGTGCTGTGTGAAAGATGGTTTTCTCCTGGGACAGGGGGGATTTCAGCCAGCACGTGCATTTACTGTTGAGAGGAGTGGTGGGATTAGCACCCTGACCCAGTGGTTGGGAGAGGAGGGGTGGGTGAGGGATACATTTTAGATGTCACACGAGGATGGATGCCCATCGTCCTTGAAGGAGATACACTGGCAAAGACCCCTGCACCACTCTCTAGGGAGGTCAACGTGGGTCTTTTCCTCTGTCGCTCCTGGGGGGCTGGGACCATAGGGTCAAGTGAGAGATCTCATGAAGGCTTTGCTCCAGGAGGTGGCAGCATGCCTAGCAAAATGCTTGGCCGGGGTGGAGCACATCCCAAAGATGGAAACAATAGGAAGGAAGGAAACCAGGTGCTCTGATCTCCTGCCACTGCCCATATGACCCATCAGGAACCTCTTGGCTGTACAGCAGCACACGGAGGTGAGAGCGAGTCCCAGGGACCAAGTGCCAAATTGAAACCGGCAGGAAGACTTCCCTGCTCTAAGGTGATCGCAGGAGCTTGGATGCTAAAAACAGCATGAAAGCAAGCAAGGGGGCTGTGTGGAAGCCTTTCTGCAAATGCTACTGAGAATCACACAGTCCTAGAGGTGTGTGGCTGGCAGGGAACTGCAGAGGTCACAGCTAGGCCAACCCCTGCCTGAGGCAGGATCAGTCCGGTCCAAACCAGCCCAGACAGCCATAACCTACACTCTTCCAGCCTGCTGCTTTGCATCACATTGTGCCTCAGTCTGTGGAGTTTATTGAGCCATTGTGTATTGTACAGGTGGGTTTATTCTCCACTTCCCAGCTCCCCTGGTAACTCTTTTTCCATTGTTGTAGAGCTGTAAGCAGTACCTAGCCAACCCGCAGTGACTGGCTCTGCATCAGGATATCCTGAGCCCTGCTCACTGATGCATTGCCCTAGTTTATGCCTTTGCATCTCCATTATTGCAATCGAGCTGCATTGGCATCAGACCAGAGCGGAAGTGGTGACTCCTGGTTCTTGCCCTCAAACAACAGCAATGAATTGCCCATCTGGATAGTTGTAAGATGCTGGCGTGGAAGAGGCTCATTGATGGGCCATGGCAGCTCCTTTGCTTCAGAGCTGGACCCTGGGTAGGAGAGTGGTTCCTAAGTTGTGGTCCATGGATAGCTTGTGGTTGGTGCGGTCACAGTAAGTGGACTACAGCTAGTTTAGGAATGGCACTGGGCCCCATGTGCATTAACAGTATTTTCAGGGACGGTATGTAGTTCACAAGGGATATTGAGTGTCTCTGATCTGTCTGTTCCTAAACTTGGAAACTGATGGCTCAGTCAATTTATTTCTCAGGATAAGAACAGCCTCTCAGCCAAGAAAAAAAGCTAGTCTCTTTTTTGCCCAGGGAGGTAGGCACCATGCTGGGTAACTGGGGCGCAGAGGCATGCATTCCTATATCTGGCACTAGTCAGGACAAATCCACTGGTACTCAGTTGCTTCTCATGAACTCTGCCAGGACTCTGGTCCCATAGCAGCTTTGCTCCTGGCTGGGTAGTGCATGGCTAGGCCACTGTACTTCTGGTCCTGCTCACTTGGTATATAAGTTCCCAGATTGTGTCGACTCCCATTGCACACTAATGTGCTGGCTGTTTAACTGGTTCATCATTGCCAACTTATCATGACTGAGACCTGTGATCACAAGCCATTTGCCAGCCCTGTGGGCACTGGCAGAGCATGAGCTGACTCATAGTTAACTAACAGGGACTACTGATTAGTTAAGAGACAGGCCATAGACTTATACCAGAGAGTCATCACAAGCCGAGCTGTTCCCATCCACTGGTTTCCTAGAGGTGGGCAGGAGTGCAGGTGTTGTGAGCTGGCTGGAGCGGACGGTGCCGGCACATGGAAAGGTCTGGGGGAGGTGTGTGCCAAGCACCAGCCAGGGCCCATGACCCCAAAGGCGGGGCTGTTTCTGCATCACAGACTCACCATTCACAAGCGCGAAGTTTAATCCACGGCCGATGTTGTTTTTCACGCTGCTCATGATACTGGGAACAAAACAGAGAATAAAGCAGGGGGTTGAAGTGTCTGCGTGCCATGGGGTGAGTCTTTGGCCAGCTGCAATGTGCCTGACTGTAGCAGGAAAGAAACCTCCTTCAAAGGACACGTACTGCCACTGTTAGCAAGCAGGGTGAGGTTCTCCTGGCCGTGTGCGCCCGGGCCTTTACCAGCTTGTTTTCAGGCACAGCCCCTGGGCCGTGCAGAGTCCAGCCCGGCCCCGACCTGAGCTCTGGGATTATCAAAGAGAAGCAAATAACAGATATCTCCTGAACCTGTCTGTCTTGTGGGGCTGCTTCTCCAGGCCCACCCTCAGGATTTCCCAGCCTCTTGTGACCCCCAGACCTGAAGAGAGCCTCTTCCACCTCCATGCCATCAGGTGCTTTTGGGACCACCGCAGTACTTACAGATTATCTTCAAAGCACAGGGATGGTCCAACAACATTTGCTGCTCCGCTGATGATTTTGAAGGCAAAATGGTTTGGGGGACAGCTTTTCAGATTGCCGCACTTATTCCGTGGGGTCTGCGGCTCTGAGGGGGAGAAAGAACAGGCTGTGAGGGGTTTTTCTCTGCATGGACAGTGCGAGGACCTTTCTTAAGAGGAGCTTGGAGCACTTGCAGTGGTGTGGGGCAAGGTATGAAGTCTGTAGCCAGCAGACTTCTCCCCGTGATGTGGTCAGGTTGCTGCCCCTGCCTAGACTGTACATGGTGGTCCGTGCAGCGGGGAAGAGGAGGAGGAGGACCTTTCCCGGTACAGCTCCGGGGCTGGCGTTTGCTTCCTGATAACCGTCACCCTGCCCTGTGGAGTCCACTCCCCAGCCTGTCCACTCTGGAAGCTCTCTCTCTCTCTCTTTCATATGACATTTTAGGATTACAACGTTCATACAACATTCATAGATTAATATCTAAATTTGTTAGCTATTCGACTGCTTCAGGAGTAGCTGCATGGATTGATTTTAGATTGCCATTTAATGATCTAATTGGGCAGTTGTTCACGATGGGTTGCCCCATCTAAAAATTGCATCACAATTGCAACCTGGACTCTCTTTGATTCTCCATTTATGGAGTAGGCGTCCACATTTTCCATGAAGTGTCTGGATGCGATTCAGGGAGGACCAAATCTTTCTCAGTAGGTCAAATCCCGGCTACTGGAAGCTGAGGGCTCTGCTTGGGCTCGGCGTCCCTGTCCAGCTTCGCACTGGCTCCTTTTAGAAAGCTGGTGGGTGTTTGCATGGAGACTGATGCTGTCCCTCACTGCCCAGCCTGTGTGCAGGCCCCTGGCCTAGGGAGCTTCCTCTGCCGAGGCAGCCAGCACCCCCTCCCCGGGGGACACGCAGTGCGGATGCTGGGAGCACGCTATCCACACTAGTTCGCTCTTGCCGGGGTTCAACGCCACATCGTACTCACGGGCATGACTGGCCGAGGAATCTGGAAGCACCGAGGAACCTAGAACAGAAGAATTAGCATTGTGAAATATCCCAGTGTCCGGGCTTCCCCCGGACACACAGAAAGAGCTGGCAGAAAGGAGGAGACTTAAAGATGAGGGTGCATGTCTGGCCGCACAGCAGTTCTCTGGACCGCTGAAGTATTTACACTAAACAAGGGGAAAAGAAATAATTGTGGGATTCGTCTCCAAACAGACCTGCTGGTCCAGAGCTCAGCCCCCCTGCTCAGGCAAACAGGGTAGCCCTGGGTGCAGTCCCTGGCCTGGCCCTCCTGCTTTATGCCATTCATATATATCAGGGGATGATGTGGACCTGCTGTCTCTGTGGAGCCCTTTGGCCTGAGTTCAGTGCATTTCATTCCTCGCTTGTTCTGCATTAGCAGCTGCTCCCGTTGCTCGGAGCCAGGAGGAGGTGTGGGGAGAGCCGAGAGAGGAGACCCCTGGCTCTGTTGCACTGATGAGATCTCTGCGTCTGCAGAGGAGAAATGAAGAACAAGCTGCATCTCGTGAGGGAAGGTAAAGACACCAAGAAGAGGTTTTATGTGTGTTGGCCAGAAAAGCAAAGCCAAGGAAGCTGTGGGCCCACCTATAAATAGCCAGGGTGAACTCTTAGCAGAAGATGAAAAGGAAGTGGAGCCACTCAACAGTTACTTTGCTAGTTTTCAGGAAAAAATTAAGCTGCAACCAGGCACCTAGTAGGGATTATTGGGATTAGTAAAGGGGCAGGATGAGGGATGAAATTATAAAAGAGGGAGTCAGAGAGATTTTGATGGGTCTTAATGAATTCAAGTCAGCAGGGCCCAGCAGACGTGATCTCGGAGACCTTGGCAATTATCTTTTTGAAGTCATGGGAGATGGGCAAAGTACCAGAGGGCTGGAAAAGGGCCAGCGTACTTCCCCTCTTTAAATAAGGAGCATCTGGGGAACTCCAGACTGGTTAGCCTCCCCTCAGTATCTGGGAAGTTACTGGAGCATTCCCCAAGGAAGTCCATTTGCAATCACCTGGAAGAGGAAAGGCCGATCCCATGCACCCAGCATGGATTTACTGAGAACAAATTGTGTCAAACAAACTTGATCTCCTTCTTTCACAGAGTAACTTCTAGGGTGGATGAAGGGACTGCTGTGGATATAGCGTGTCTGGATTTCAGCAAGGCTTTTGACAAAGGCCCCCATGACCGTCTCATAAACACATTACAGAAAGAGGGGCTAGACAAGACTACTGTAAAGTGGAGCGAACAGGAGAATAGGACTGAGATGATCCTGCCTTCAGCGGGGGGCTGGATTAGACGACCTTCTAGCCTTACTTCTCTGTGATTCTGCGATCCCTCTGTTTCACATCCTGCCCTTCAACCTCCTTCCAGAAATGTGGGAGACCAGGGCTTGCCACTGGCAGGGCTAGGCTTGGTCCCCCCTCAGAGATGCATTTCACCTATTTCAGACTCACCCCAGAGATGCTTTAGCTCATGAAACAACCACCTCTTACCAAACCAGCTCCGTAAAGAGACGGACTTCCAGCTCGTGTTGAGGTACGTCTGCAGAAGGAACCACGTTCCAGCCAGCGTGCACACCACGGCCACCACCCGGAGCACACCTGCCAGGGCGTGGGGAGAAGGTCACCTTATGGTGCGGCGCTGTGGAGCGTGGAGCAGCCTTGCCCTGGCATTGGGGAGTGGGGGGCTCGGTGTCGTGCAGCGCTGTGAGCTGGAGAGCAGGAGTCGGGGAGCTGTGCTTGGAAGGCCACGCAGGCCTGCTCTCCTCTTCCACATGCCAGCTGCAAGCAGTGGCCTGTAGCCCGGGGCCCTTCCTGCCCTCGGCCAGTTACTGCAAGCTGCTCTTGGGAGAGGGGAGCGAATTGCTGGTAGAAATCCTGCCCAGCTTTGAAGGCAATAATGGGTCACACTCCTCTGAGAGACACATTGTGCAGGGAAAGCCGTCCAGGCCTCGGGTTTGTGAGGGACTGAGCATGGGGTGGGACTCGGTGGCCTTTGCTGTGCAGGAAGTCAGCCTGGCAGGTGGTGAAGGTCTCTCTCAGGTGAGAGGCACGGTGTGACAGCAAGACATTACTGCTGCTGTTCTCTGCATTAACCTAAACCTGAGAATGGGTTAAAAAGCCATGGAAATGCAAGCGTGTCTTGAGTTCCCCGAGCTGGGAGGCTCACGACCCCCCAGTTAGTCAGTAGGTCCAGCCGACCAGCTGTTCATAAAAGTGTGATTGGCACTGGATGTTACAGCAATGCCCAGTGGAGCACAGCGTTCCTCTCCTGCCATGGAAACGTGATTGAAGGCAATATTTATACTGCAGCTGAATGGCTCTTATGGAACCAGGGACCTCTTGGTAGTCATCTCCCGCCCCCGACCGGGAGGGATTTCATTTGTAAAAGTACAATGAGCTGCAATATAGGAAGTTATTTTAAAAATAAGGCTCTGTACTCACACTGAGGCCCTTCTGCACACCCCTGGCTGCACCAGGTGGGTGTAAGGGTGTTTCAGAAGTGCTCGTGTGGACAAGAAACGGGCCCAGGGAATATGAACAAGGGGAACGTTGTGTGCTCATTCTGAAAGGCACAGCTCCATTTCCTCTTACCTATTGGCCTCATGGTAGGACTTGGGTGCGGTGAAATGAGGGCAGTGATCAGAGATCGTGAGTCAGCCTGCAGAAGCAGAAGAAACAGGTATTAAACACGTAGCTGTTACCCAGAGAAAAGCGATGAGTGTCGGGTGAAAGGTGGTGATTGGAGCGGTGATGCTCCTGCACTCCACAGGTACTTAAGCCATCCCCAGTAGCAGACACCAGTTAACCCCCTGTGCGTACCCTTGATTTAGCTGGGGCGCCTCTGGGAGGGTCGGTAAGAGTTGATTTTAGCTGTGGCTCCATTTTTATTTGACCAGAATGAATTGTTTTAAATGCACTTCATTTTTAAAATAGTTCCTGGCTACCCTCCCCTTCCCCTTTGAGCCACACAGTCGTGTTTTGCGTTCTGCTTCAAAATGGATCACTTCTTGTTTGTGTCTTCTGCTGATTTTATATAAACTTAAGGAGTTTTAAAATTGGTTGAACATTTTATTGAAGCACAGAGTAGGCCTTTCTGCCCGGTCCCATCCTCCCAGCAGAGTTTGGAGCAGCGCAAAGGCTGCTGCAGTTTCACCTTTGCTCACCATTGCTGGTGAAGTGTGGCACAGAGGGGTAGCTCAGCCCTTTGCTCACTGAAGCTGAATGGGTGGCAGAAAGCTGGTCTCCATTTCCTTATCTGCTGGCAAGAAGGATGTCCTGCCGTGGCTTTGCCTGCTGGCATCATGCTTTCGTTTATCAGGGACAGGGTGTTTGCTAAGCAAACACTGGTCGCGTAACAGCCACCGCGGTTGGCTTTGCTTCCGCTGACAGAGGAAAGTAGGAGGCCTCGTCCCTCCAGCAGGTGTATCTGAGGTTGAAGCAGACGTATGAGACAAGTTTTCCCATACAGTGTCCACAGTCAAGGGAAGTAAAAAAGGGGGAAGTCTTCCCCCCACAATGTTTGTCTTACAGGACTCCACCGTTAATCAGGGAAAGTCGGAAATTGGTTGGTGCCCCCTGACGGGCCGTGGCCGAATCCCGTTAAACACTAGCTTGTGGAATCCGAGGCCCTCTGCCAGGTTGTAGCTGTCTGCCGATCCTTTCCATAGCTAAGACAACCCTTTAGCGCTGGTTCAGCCGTCTCATGGGTATTAAGAGGAGCAATGAAAACTCCTGGTCTTCACTTCAGAGCTGATGCCTCATTTCTCATTCAGTTTGAAGAGGCCAGGACATGATACCTGCTTCCGTACGGGTAACTAGAGTCTGGAGCGCGCTCCCAGCAGAGGTGGTGCAGTCGCCGTCCTGGGAGGTGGTCCAGAGGAGGCTGCACAAGCACCTCATTGAGCTCGCTTGAGCCCAATAACCTCCTACCCATGGCAGGGGACCGGACTTGATGGTCTTGCGGTCCCTTCCGGTCCTTTGAGTCTATGATTCTGTCATTTGCTTGTGACATGAGACGAGCCTCTCCGTGCTTTCTCCCCCACTGCCCCTGTTTTGGGGAGGAGCTCCCCAAACATCCTCAAAGCCACTTACCACTACTTACAAACCCCTCTTGAGAGTCTCCTTTGCTGCGGCACCTCCTGAAACCTCACCAGCGATGGGAATTACTGGCAAACAGACAAACCCCGCACACACTTGGGAGCTACCAGTCTCGGCAGCCAGAGCTGCACACCTGCCCCCGTGTAGGACAGGAAATCCCGCTGTCCTCCAGACCTGCCTGTCCAGCTCAGCAGCTTGTGTAAAATGTGAGTCTGGCCTCATCCCTGAAGTCTGGCTTCTTGAAGCACTGACGGCATGAAGGTTTCCAGCGCTCTCGGGAAACTTTACAAGCCTCACTTATCTTTAGAATGACATTGAAATGACGTCTGCCCCAAACACGATGAACAGCATGTTTGCCGAGGAGAGGTGTCGAATACAGCAGGTGTTTACCACTGCTTTGCACAAGGACTGTAATAAAGGGCAGGCTTGCGAGGTCTGTATGTGCTGTGCCGATGGCGGTGGTGCAGCCGGCAAGTGCGAGCTGAACCACGATGAGGAGATGCATTGAGCACACAGGCAGCTCTCAGCCGCTGACAGCTCTGGGCATTGCTGCCCCGGACTGGCTTTCAGGCAGCAATGCGGGGATGGAAGGAACGATAGCTCATGGCAGCTTTCCAAAAGCCATCCAGTCCCTCCCCTAAGGAATTTTTACAAGGGGTAAGCCTCCAGTTTCACCATTTCTGCTTCCCCTATGCCAGCGAGAGTTCCTCTTGCAAGGCTGATCGAGGAGCAGCACTGCACAGGTGTCTGCAGGGGGCTTCCTGGGCAGGCTGCCGGCCCTCTCGGCTCTCTGCCTAGGCGCAGGCAAGGGCCAGGTACTTGCACTGAGCCAGTCTCATCTCTGGCCCTGTTTGCTTCATCCTTGCTGTGCTTCTGTCTGCTGCCTTCCCCGGCAGCGTGCTCCTCCGCGCTCCAGTTACACCGTGTGCAGGCCATGGCAGCGCCTTGGAAATCCAGGGCTCAGCGAGGCTTAAGAGAGGGCTCCCGGCCTACGTGCTGCTTTCAGGGCTCTCACCCCGGGGCCTGCTGGATGTGGGCAGTGCAGCCCTGGTGTGGAAATGCCCCAGTGCCTGGCAGTTCCTACAGCTCCTTCTGTACCCAGCAGAGCATCAGCACATCGGTCCCAGTTTGCCTGAGCCTAGAAAGCCCAATAGGCCAGCGTGCTAAGGCATGGCAGCTTGAGGAGCTCATGGCACACCAGAGCGGAGCGTGACCAGCACTGCAGCGGTCTGCCTCTGATTGCCCAGCCCAGCCTGCTGGACACTCACGTGTGGGCTCCCTGTGGCACAAGCCCAGAGCGAGGCTCAAGCCCACACATTGGTGTCCACAACAAGAAAGAGCTCTGCCAACACATCCACCCTTACAGAGCAACAGGGCGATAGAGAGCCCGCGAGCCAACACGTGGCGCCACTTCAGGCAAGTTGTTTGTTTCTGCTGTTTTTATCTGATTTCATCTCCAGTGAAACTCCGTGGCCAGACCCCGGTGAAGTCCATAGACCCTCATCCAACTGTGCCAGGGATAGTCGTGTCTTGCTCTTTTGTAACTGTATGGTGGATCTTCGGAAGAGACCCCGCTGCAAAAACAGTTCCCTTGGCAGTAGAATAGGAACCTGCCATCTGGTGACAAGGGAAGGCGGAAGTTGTGGAGGATGGCAGGTGACAAAGCACATCGTTCCTGTGACTGAGCAATTAAAACACTTTCCACGGACAAGCAAGGTCCTTCACTGATATGACCGGTGCATTTAGGATTCCCATCACCACCTGACACCGGTGGGACCCTGTCTCCTAGGTCCTGGACTCTTCCCCATTGTGCTGACTGTGGTCAGTCATTATGAGGACAAACAGGAGAGTATTTGCCCCTTCCCTAGGAGCGTATCAGAGATGCAGCCCTCCAGTTTGCGGCTGTTCCCATGCTCTGCTCAGGGCTGGAGGAAAGCCCCATTTGGCTCCCTCAGCAAAGCATGCCTTCCCTCCCCACTTCCTTATGTAGTGGCTGAATTTGTCTCTCTCCAGCAGGGTGAGGACCTTCACATAGTAAACTGGTTGTGGGTCCACTGCTGAGGTTTCTGTAATAGCATCAGGGAGAGGAGGGAAAGATGAGGAGGACATACTACTGGAAGAGGAGAGATGCTCTGGGCTTCATGTTGCAGGTGGAAAACGTTGTGCTCTGAGCTGACTGCAGTAAGGATTTTCCTGTAAAAGCAATCCAGAAGAGTAGCCCAGAGAAAATGCAGGCACTGCCCCTGAGCTTGTCCTGCCATCCTTACACTGATGTGGCCCAGCCGCTCAGCTGATGTGAACTGGCAAAGCTTTATTGTTCTTCATGCAAACGTGCAGGAGCTGGGAGCTTGGCAGCATGTCAGCTAGCTGAATAGAGGCTCAGTTTGCTCAGAGAGGGGCTCCAACATGAAACACATTTACTTCTGGCTTCAGAGAAAGCTGCCAGGTCCAGAGAGGACAACAGGATAGCTATGGCGCCCTTATCCCAGGAACTTGCTTCCATCGGCATCAGCATCGCTGCTTTCCAGGAGGGCGGTCGGTGTAGTCAGCAGAGAGGAGGAAGCTGGTCTCTTTTCTTCCAGTCTCGCCTGGCACATGAGTGAAAAGAAGCCCTCGGCCTCTAAGGAGACTTCCTGGCCGGAGCTGGGCTCCCGCGGTGTTTCACAGTGCCGCAGGATGTTTGCACCCAGACCTGGATGGAGCAGCAAGAAACTCCCGTTCTGGAAGGGGCCGCGGGGAGTTTTTCCATAATTGCAGGAGAAAAGATGTAAGGGCAGGTTGTGCTGTGATAAGCGGGGCTGTTCAACAGGCAAGCCCTACCTGCCAGATGGTTTTATTTCTACTGTTCAGCTCGTAAAAATTTTTGGTCAGCTGCTTAGTGCTGTGCGTCGTTTGTGAGGCTAAGTTATGATGAAGTTACAGCTGCTGTAGGTCAATGATCAGTCAGTAAAGGGACCGAGGTTAAAGGCAGAGAGATGGGACAAGGGTCTGGAAGGCAGCCAAGCCTAGTACTGGACACCCAGCCTTCCTGTGCCTGTCTGGGTAGGAAGGTGGCCTGAGGCTGGGCTGGGTGCAGAGGCAGGGTCTGGCCGGGGCCGTGGTGCCCTGAGGCTGGGCTGGGTGCAGAGGCAGGCTCTGGCAGGATCCGTGCCACGCAACTCATCTCTTGGCTTGATGCCCATGTTCTTCACTTGTGGGCGTTCAGGTTGGGCCTGTCCAGCTCTCCTCTGGTAGCTGGCGCTGCAGGGAAGACCTGCAGGTGTGTGGCTGGTGGCTGAGGGAGTGACGAGGGTGTGGGTTCTCGGAGCTGGCATCCAAACCAGCAGAAGGGCCCTCCAGCATGATTTCACAAGGCGCTGCACTGAAAGCTGTCCTGTCCTACAGCACAGCCACTGCCTTCCCTTCGGCACTGGGAAGAGAGCCAGGAGTTTAGCAGGATTAGGGTGGCTCCGCGGAAAGCCAATCTAGAGTGATAACGCTTCACTTCAGAAAGCCAGTCAGCCTTAGAGGAGGGACAGGGACACTCTTGCTTGACTCAGTTGCTAACTACCCTGAGGAAGCTTTCTACCTCTGCGTGGCTTCCTGCACCTTCCTGTAAAGCTACTGGTGTTGCTCGCTGTCAGCGCAGGACGGACCTTGGCTCGGAGGCAGGCGTGCAGCTGCTTCCCCGGCCTTGGCGCGCTCAGTGCCCAGCACGTTCTGCCCAGCGTTTATTAGACTTGGTGACAAAGCAAGGAGGAAGCCAACGGGGACACCAGCATTAATACAAATACCCAGCACAGCCACCCATTTCTGGAAGTTGAAATAATCAGCCACGAAGGAGTAACAGGCAGAGCATACAATAAAAAAGGCAGGGAATCAAAAAAGGGAAACCAGTGCCAAAGCAGACCTAGCAGGACTTGATGCACAGCACCACTACCACCACGCTGCACAGGGCTCCTGCCCCTGCGGGCTCAAGGTTTAATGACCTGGCCCTTTGGCTTGGGCCGTGGCCCATGTGCTGGCTGCACTACGATGAGCCCTCAGAGGGAGGAGTCGGGTGAAGGAGGATTGCTCCAGCCAGCCATATGGTCTGGAAGTGCAGTACGGAGAGCGAGAGCAGAGTAGCCTGGGACTGGGTGGCGTCTGTGAAGGGGAAGGTGGAGCCTGCCCCATTCTGGGGTACGTTAGAGCAGCCTCCACGCTCCCAAGCGAGAGAGAGCAGTAGCTGAGAAATGCCACAAAGCAGCCGCTTGCCAGTCTGACCCCTTCCTCCTACGTGGGGGCAAGACCAGGGGACGAGTGGATGTAGCAGGTGGCAGCTCTTTTCTAGCACTTCCCCTGGTACTAAGAAACCTGTTTCTTTTAGACATACTTCTGGTGCTCCTCTGGCATCAATAATGGATAAAGACACCCGATGCAGAGCATACATCACACAACAGATTGTGTCTCCAGTTATTCAGTCAGCAGGCGGAAACAGAGACCGGGCATGGCTTTAACACTCGCTCTTGCAACAACCCTCCATGTGTAACGTTCCCCTGGCCAGAACCTGCCCTAGAAACCAGTGCTAGAAATCTGGAGCATCGACCACAGAGAAGGGAGCGGCAGGAAGACCGCCCGGCTCCAAGTTACAACCAGCAAAAAGTGAACTAGCAAGTTAACAGAAAACCCTGCTGTTTTACTCATAGAAACCCTCACTTCCCCTATACTTTTAGAGTAACACAAGAGCTCTTTTGCGGGCTGGATTCCAATATACATACCAGGCAGAGCGGCCCGGGTGTGCCTTCATCCTCTAACGTCTCTGTGTCCCGACACCTTTGCTACTAACCTCAGCAATCAGTGCGCTGTGTGGCAGCCGCCTTTGCATAGCCCAGCCCTTGTGTGAATCACCACAAACACCTCCCCCGTGAATTGCCCTGTTGATCCTGTAAGTGTCAAGCAAACTGTGGTCAGCAAGAGAGAATGAGGAAGTCTTTGTGGCTGCTCACAAGGAAGCTCTGGTCTGCCCTGAAAAATCCATGTGCACACAGAGAGATCTGTCACGGATAGCGAGCTCGTGCATGGCTAATACCTTGCCTGTGTTCACTTGCCTTTCACCCATCTTCCGCTGAA